TTATTTTTTTGAAATTACTCTCTTTTCCAGCCCCACAAAAAAATTAACTTTTTTCAAAAAATTTTTTTTTTTTTTTTTTTTTTTTTTTTTTTTTTTTGCTTTGGCTGTTTTTATAAAAAGTTGTAAACCCAATGGAAGTATAAAAACTTGCAAAATGTGAATTTTGCATAATCAGTCCTCTATAATTAATTCAAACCCTGCATGGACATTAGATTGACCTTCCAGCTGGAAAAACAGCACTAAGCGTACGACCAGAAGTACAGCTGAAAGGTTTAGATCAAGGTGTATGCATGTATTAATGTGAGCCAGTCAAAGTTCAGACCTAAATCCAAATTATAATCTGTGGCAAGACTTGAAAATCAAAGTTTGCAGATGCTTTCCATCCAATCTGGCTGAGCTCGAACTATTTTTTTCAGACAAGCCCACAAGAGGTTCTGTACAGTTTAGATTTTTTTAATGTAAAATATGTTGAAAAGTCCTTACATTCCCACTTCCAAAATTTGTTTTGGTTTATCAGAAAACTCCTAATAGTACAGTGAGGTTTGTGGCTCCAACCTCCTTACTTTTCTCATCTTTGGTAGAGATTTAATGTCCTGTTTTCCATGTGGTGCTCCTGTTTTTCCACAGTGTCGCCTGCCGGGTCACAGAAGCCGGTCGTCCAGCCTCAGCCTGACGGTGGAGAGCGCCCTGGAGAGCTTCGACTTCCTCAACACGTCTGACTTTGATGACGACGACACCGGAGACGACAACACCGGCATCTGCAGCCTCCCGCAGAAATCTCCACCTTTAGATGCAGACCCAGAAAGGATTGAGTGAGTTCTTTGAAGGAACTCTAGAAAAATATGATGTTTTACTTCAGTTTCATTTTTGTAACTTTCTTTCACTTATTAAGACCAAAAAGCACTTGGTGGGGTTTTTGTGTTTTTGCTTGGAAAGAGATTATTTTGTCCAGATCGCAACAAAGAACTAAAATATTCCTTTAAATGCTGTAGAACTTTAGAAGAGTTTTGTTATTGAAACATACAGACAGTTGAACACAACCGAGTCGACATTTTCTACTCTGATGTTCAGATTGTTAGAAAACCTGAATTTGAACACGTCTTTGGACGTTTTAAAACGCTGCCACCCTGTGGCCGCTGTTGGTGTGTGCTGCTCAGAAGCCAGCATCAGGAGGCCAGAGGTCACCTGAGTGAAGCCCTGACAGAGGACACCGGGGTTGGAAACAGCGTGGCAGGAAGTCCGATGCCGCTCACCACTGGAAATGAAAACCTGGATGTAGCCATCGTCATCCACCTCCAGTACTGCATTCACCTCATCCAGGTAGTTTTCCACACCGCAGTCTTCTGCCATCAGAAACTGGAGTGTGACGTATTTATTGAAGCGTAACACTAAACCTTCTGGTAGATGCTGACCAGCGGGATGGGTGTGTGGCAGCGACGCGGTGTTCTCCTCAAACTGTCGGGACAGACGCAGCTGCTGGAGGAGCTGGCAGAGATCAGCGTTGACAGGCTCGGAGGCGTCACCTCGGCTGCCGACGGTACCAGCTGACAACTTAAAATCCAGAGTTTGACGTTTATTTTAAAAATCTAAACGCCTGCTCTTGCGCTGCACGACGTTTCTCCTTCCAGTTCTCCCAAGCCTTGCGGAGCGCCCGCAGCTGATGACTCTGTGGTCAGAGTGCAGCGGCTCTGCGGGGCTTTTCCACACTACGCTGGACCGAGTTTTCAAACACATGAACCAGCGCTACTCAGCAGTGCTGCAGGAGAGACACCCACACAGCGCTGACGCAGGTTGGCACTTGACCTGTAAACCAACAGCAGTTTTAATTTTGTTCCTGAGACGGAGCCTCTTACACAGGATCCATGTGTAGAATTACGCTAGAAATTAGACAAATTCCTTCTCAGAAGTAAGCTGTTTAAAACGCATGACTATGTTTGTCCACACATTCAATTAATTCATCTGTAAAATGCCCTTTCTCATTTAGATTAAATAAATATAGCTTGTAAGTTAGTTATTTTTAACTGAGTTCCTTTTTTAACTCTGCAAAAATACAAAATCTTCTCTAATTTCTAGTGCAAAAATCTTAATACACTAGATATAATACAAAACTAACTTACAAGTAACTTTTCAGCGTGATCTAAGAGCTTGTTTTAAAACCATAATTCCTCATTACTGATTGTAAAAAAAAAAAGTTCTTGCTCTACTGCCAGACTCTTTCACTTATGACATGGGAAATGAGGCCGGTTACAAGTTGAAAAAAAATATCTGCCAGTGGAACTAATGCTTTTTTAAAAATCAATATTAAGGAGTTATTGATGTGAAATTAGCTCTTGTATCTTGCTGAAAAGTTACTTGTTAGGTTTGTCTTATTTCCATTTAATTAAAAATAATTGCACCAGAAGCTAGACAAAAAAATAAAAAATTAAATACTTGGTAAGATTTTGTACGTTTGCAGTGAATATTTTTATTGGAATGACTTAAGATCATTCCAATAATGATCTTAAATCATTAAGATCATTAATGATGATCTTATTAATGATCATCAGTAATGAGAGTTTTATTTCAGTTTACTTGCTAAAAATCTACATTTTGTTTGGGGGTAAAAAAAGAGAACAGTAAATATAAATTTCAATATAAAAACCTCCTAAAATGTAGAAAAAATAAGGACAGAATTTGAGGTGACAAAGCAAAAATGTTACTTGTTGATCCTAGCATTAGCACTGCAGCACAGCAATCTGCTACGGGAAGTTAGAAAAGTTGCATTTACTTCAAATGTTCATAAAAGAGCTTAAAATTTGACTAGTTTGTACTCAAGTCTAGATTTAGACTGAACTGCAGTTCAATTCAGGCCTTGTTTTCAGATCATGCTCAGCTATTACCCGCAACCACTTATTTAATTTATTACATTTTATATGCAAGCTTATTTAAGACTGAAACTGTTGCAACCAACAATATATATATATATTTTTTTTTTTTTTCCTTTTCTTCAGTGATTGGCATGGTTGTGGGTGAGATGGTGGACAGGAGTGACCTGGCTGCAGCGCACGGCCCTCCTGCTGCGGCGCTGTCCCGGGACGTCCTGACTGTGTTTCAGTTCCACAACTACATCCTGCAGCACGACGTTCAGGACATGGAGACTCACCTGTTGCACCTGGCCAGAGAAGGTGAAAAGTAGCAGGCAAAGCCCTTCTTTTTTTAAAGATCAGTTTATGCTTTTCCTCAAATAATTATTGAACTTAAACCAAACAGCATTTGCTTTTTTTTTTTTTTTTTTTGTTAGTTTTTTTTCCAGTTATTAATAAAAGTAATTTGATGACTTTTCAGGCTTCTGAGTTTTTGTTTAAGGTTTTTGCTGTAAATTGACACTGATGGAAATTAAATGTAGAACCTAACAACTAAATATAAGGATCCCTAGCTGTATTGAAAGAAGAGAACATAATTTGAAATTCACGTCTTTCAGATCACTTTGCAAAAGAAAAACCTTTGTAAAGATTTGAGTATGACAAGAGTTCATTTCTTCTTGTGTTCATATGGGATATTTATCTTCCAAGTTGCCCCAAATCATTTATATATTCTGTACAAAACTATTCATACCCAGTAATTTAAATGTATTTACTTTTTTTTTTAGATTTGTTTTTTAACTGGAATTACAAACATCGGTGTGTTTGCTGGGGTTGCTACGCATTTCTAAAGATTCCCCTTTGTCCCTCTGATTGCCCTTAAATAAAATCTAAATTAATTGTTGCGCAATATAGTCCTACAGAATATCAAATACCGGGATTTGAATACAAATGCATGCCGCACTTGTTAGAAAAAAAACATACCAATTGAAATGTTATCCTTTTCTTTCTGTTTTTATATGGCTTAAAAGTGCAACAAAGCTTGTCAAAAAGGATTTGAACGTTTTCCGCTTGTGTTCGTTCGCAGAGGTCTTTGCGGAGACCCTGTGCGGTGATGATTTCTCTCGGCGTCTGGCACAACTGGAGGAGGTGCCTTTGTCGACTCTCTGGCCTCGAAACGGCACCCTGAGGGCACTGGCCTCCCTGCTGACGGCAGAAGACCCCCAGGTCAACAAGGCAGCAGCCGACTACCTCTCCTCTGGAGCGTCAGACAGACACTTCAGGACCAGGGTGAGCAGCGGCGACCGGAGCCCAGGTTTGCGTTGGAGTCTTAAGCGGAAGCAGCGTCCGACTGTTGTCTTGTTTTTGCAGGCCGTAGAGTACTACACCCAGGCGCTGTCGGAGGCTGGAGTTCAGAGCCAGAGGGCGGCCTGCTCGGCTCTCAGCTGTCTGCAGGTCAGAGTCGCATCCCACTTGTTGTCTGAAAGCAGCTTCACACTTCTAAAGATAGAAGAATATGACTTGCTTGTAGGATTCAGAAAGCCGTGTTTTTTTCTGCGTCTGAAGGCAGTGGAGAGCCTGAAAGCGGTCGTAGCGCTGTGTGATTCAGCTGATGAGGAGCTGCGCCATGTCGCCATAGAGACGCTGCTCACATTTGGTGAGTGCCGTTTTCAATCCTTGGAAATCTCTAAAACTCTAAAACCTACATTTGATGTTGACCGCTACTACGCCTCCTACTGGCCAACCAGTGTAACTTAATATTACTTGGATTTTATAAGTGACTCATTTTATTTTGTGACTATATTAAGTGGGGAAGGATAAACATAAAATAATACGTTTTTAAGCTGCTGCTCAGGATGTTGCCACACTCAACAAATAATTATTTTAAAATTGTCTTTACACAAAATATCCTTACCTGGTAAAAAAAATATATATATATTCATGAATAAGAACAAAAGAATACAAATAAAATTCATTCTTGTTGCATGTGAGCCTGACGTCGATCGCTTGCGTAGTTTATGACCAGCGACATGCAGGTAAGCATGCGTTGCTTGCATGAAATGAGGTTTGTAGCCAAATTTTAGGTTCTCTTCTTTGATAGATTTTATTATTTTAAACATGACAAAGAATAAATCCAACCTATTTTAACTTTCTCCTCCACTGTTTTTGACCACATCGGAAAAAGTACCTTCATAGTTAAGCAGAAAAACGAACTGGCAAAAGATGCTCGAGCCTTGATAATTGATCTATCAAGAATGATCATTATATAAAAAACCTCCTGTGTTTCTGTTGTTGCAGGCGAGGAGGGCCGGCTGGCGTACGAGCAGCTGGACACTGTGGTCGGGGATATGATCCGTCTGGGCACGCGGAGAGGAAACGCCGTCACCACCGCCTTCTGAACTATCGAGCCGCTTGAAACCTAACAAACTGCCGAGGGACGACGTCGAGCTCCCCGAGCCGCTCTGCTTCTTCGTCTGACAGCAAGAAAAACCGATTTATGTTCGTAGCTGCCTCTTGAGAAGAACTAACACCAAACAGATGGTCGTAACACACAACCTACACCCCTCCTGGATCCGGACTTGGACTCTTTACTTTAATATGAGACGACCCCCAGCCCCCGCACTCCTCCTTTCTTAACTTGCTTTCTGAGCCAGGCAGGCCAAGTCTCGGGCTGAACTGGAAGCGAAGCTGGAACTTGACTGGACCCAAAGCTGCTGCTGCTGCTGCTGCACAGACTGTGGATATTCCTGGAAAGCATCCTCTCCTTGGAAACAAGCACACACCAACCACATCACTTACTGTTAAGGAATCTGTTCATATCTACAGACCGACGTGTCGCTTAAATTTTTCTGTGATTTTTAAGTAATTAATGCAGCATGTTTCAGTTGCGTTGCTTTTTAGGTGCTTTCAGAAGACAGCATTAGTAAGCTTGTAAATGCAGCATCTTTTACACGGCTGGAAAATACACCTGGTTGTGTTCGCAGTGTAACTTGATTTGTGTTTTCTGGTACGTTCCATTTGATTTTCAGGGATTTTGCAGAGGCTGAAAGACATGTTGGTGGAAGATGATTTTTTATTTTTTTTTTTAGCAGTAAGTGAAGTCAGAAAGCAGTTTACAGCCTTCTTTGTGACGAGATGAAGCAGGGGCCCACTGTTCCACTCGCTCAGCAGTTTTATGTCTGAGCCTTTTCACGCTTGCGGTTTAACAAGTGCAATCTTTGTTTTGTACATATGATTGTTTTCTTTTGCTTTCATTTTCGTGCACCTCGTCGATACGAGGAGCCCGCTGGATGACGTCGGCTTCGACCACCTGAGCCTTGATGAGGTCGAGGCGGCAGATTCCACAGAAGCTCTTTTTGTAAATGTTTTTTTTTTCTTTCTTCTTCTTCTTCCTGCCGGGCCAGGAGCCGCTGCAGAGTATTAAATCCAGCTCGGGATTTCTAGAGAAGGCATGTTTTAACATCTGGAAAAAAAAAAAGGGTATAGGAACTGAGTGGTATTGTAGCCTTGATTTTAGGCTAACTGCACATTTACATATTGAAAGGCTTTGTTTTTCCACATCTCTAAAACGCTGTGTGGAAAAAAAATAAAATAAAATGACCGGAGGTAAGGATCTACAGGTGCATCTCAATAAATTACATAATACTTTAAGGTTAGATTAAAGTCATGGAGTTCACAAAGCAAAAATTGCGCATAGATTTATTAGAGAGTGGTATTTCAGTCATTTATTTTGGTTCATTTTTGAAAGTCCACAAGTTGACAAAATTTAGCTCCTTACTTGTACGCAATAATTATCAAAATATTTTAGGCATCTGTGACACAAGTTCACTTTTTGAATGAAATCGAGATAAGCTTTTGAATGATATTTTGATTTATTGAGCTGCACTTGAACTGTCTGCTGGTATCATGCTACCTGTACTACTGAGTCGAGTGCTAACGCACCGAGACAAACATTCACATAAAAATCTGTTTCCTATTTATTGTTTACTCCTTGTAACTCTACTATTCTTTCGGAGTTAAACTGCAAGTAGTGCAGAATAACCATGTTCTGTGAATAATTTTCATATTTATGTTGTATTTTCAGGTCTAACGTGAACTGTTGACCTTGATAGTTTTATCATGATCTTGTAAACTGATGGTTAATTTTAATTGGAGTTTATTTTAATAGAAATATATTAGATTATCATTTTTTGGAGGAGATTTGATGTTTTCTTCATTGAAGTATCATAAAAAAAATTTGAGACTTCTATATATTTATAAATGTTACTTTATCAACTAGATTTACTGTAACCAAAGGAAATTTAATTATAATTTTGACCTTTTTTTTTTAACAAAAAAGAGCTAATTCAAGAGAATGTATTTTCAATAAAACATTTGCATTAAGGCCAGAACTCAGATCTAAAAGGAAAAGCACAACTTAAAGAATTAAACCCACAATAGATGGGTCTTGTTACATTTAGATGTAACTTCTTAATCCAGTTCAAAGCCATATTAAATATTCTTATACATTGTATTTTTTTCCTGTATTATCTGTAAATGTGTGAACAGTTACTAAAATATTGTCATTTGTTTTTCTATACACACTTTTTTTTTTTTTTTTTTCAAAATATGGTCCAAATCTGAAGCAATTTTCATTTCATGATATGCATATAGCAGTACAGTATTTTTAGCCTAGCATCTAAATTAACCCAGTCTGTATATAGCATTCTCCCTTTTATGAACTTGCAGTTGACCAGTGTTTATAATTGGTGGGCCATGTGAATCCTAAGCACTGTCAAGTACAAGCAGGCAAAAGTGTGCACATGTGGAGTCATTTACAGTTTTAACACTTTGAAATTGAAATTAATCTGTGGTCCATAGCTTCAGCACTGATCCATCTACTACTCATCTGTTGTGGTCAGCAGTATTTCTTGTGCTCCAATATTGCAATAAAGTATATTTTTGCATATTTAAAATTACTGTTTTGATTTTCTGCAAGTATTTGCTGTAAACAATGCACCTGGAAATTTTGATCCAACAAGAGAAAAAGCTGTCCAGCCATTTTGTCACCTTAATTTGAAACAATCTACAGGTATAAGGGATGATGTAGGCTCAGCTATGCTGAAAAGAAATTGAAGCAAATTAGATTAGGCCAAAAAAATTGCCAGGTAATGCAGACACTGAAGGTACTCCCATATATCCAGCAAAATGTTTCTCATTTTTAAGAGTACTTGCTGTCACCAATTGAACTGCATATTAAATCTAAAGAATCAGCTCAGTGTTCAAGTTTAAAAAGTTTTTCCCAATTCTGTATTGCCCGTTTGACTTGCCGTTACAAGCTAAATGAGGGCAACAAGCTACATTTATTTTAACCGTAAACAAAACAGGAAGCCTTCAAACTATAAAAGGCAGAAAGTGTCAACATGACCCATTTCTATAAAACAATTTTATCCACTTTTCAAAAAAAAATTTGAACTTTAAAAGTTGTCAATACCAAGATGTACAAAGTGCAATAAAGGAGTTGCTTGATAAATTTAGCCGTTTTGTCATATACACCCTTAAAGTGAAGAATAGCCAACAGGAACTCAGTTTCTTTCAATTTTATTGTATAGACTATGTACAAAATCAGATAAAAAGCAGTTTCACATTTTAAACTGAGACAAGGGTCTGCCAACAGCCAGATTTATTAACATACGAGACCCTGCAAAACAAGGTTGAAGTCTGGAAAACATTTCAGTTTTAAACTACAGGGCTCCTCTATAAAAAAGGTGCTCAGTAGTCAGTGAGGGCTTAATACCAGTCAATTACCGGACGAAAGTCCTTTGGATTGAAAGATCGAGACAAACCGTCCAATGCGTTTAAATTTAAACTCAAATGATAAAAAGCTGCCAACAACTCAACAAAAATTACAAGTTTATTAACAAAAGAGGGCATATCTCCTTCAAAAGGAGGTCTTTCTCTAAAGTCAGTTTAATCCTGAGGGTCCAGCTTCGTCATGATCTGACGTCTCTTCATCGCTGTAGTCTGCCTCCTCTTGCTCAGCTGGACCCGCCTCTTCTGCATCAAACGCAATGTCCTTCATTTCTTCCAGGCTCTCTGGGAACTTTCCAGTCAGTCTCTGTAAACACATTATACAAGTTGTTAATTAGTACCAAGAGAGATCATGCCTTTACAATGAACTTTATTTTACTCTGGGGGGGAAAAACAAAAAACACTTCAACCCATAGTGCACACAAAGGAGGCATTTAAACTATTGGATTAAGTGTACCAGCTCCAGTTACAGGCCTGTATGCCACTGCTAAAACTGCTGCACTTTTGGATAAAAAGCGGTATCAAGTTCAGAAACATAATATGTCAAAGCCTAATTATGCCCTTTAGTGCAATCTAAGATCAGGTTGAGCTTTAAGACAAAGGCAGACAGCACAAAGAAAATCCATGCCAGGTGTTTGGTAGATACTCAGAGTACAAACCTCAATCATGTCAGCCATGTACTGCACGTGTTGCGCCAGCTCCTGCAGCTCTTCATTCTCAGACTGGAGCTTGCTGATCTGTTCATCTCTGGCTTCGATGTCTTTGTGCAACTGGTTTGAAAGAAATTAGTTGGTCAGAGCTCAAAGTACAAGGTCACCAAACTGAAGAACCTTAAAAGCACTGAAGACAGTTTTGACAGGCCTGACTGAACAGAAGTAGACAAAAGCCAACTAATGATTGAATACATTTTCTGCAGTCTGGACTGGTTTATTCCCAGGGTCAAGGGAGTTGGAGCGTGGGAACGTTCAGAAAGCTAAACATTATCTGAGCCCTAGTGATTAACTCACCTTTTCGTTCTCCTGTAGGACACTGTACAAAGCCTTTCGTCGTTCTTCTGCTACTTCTTTCCAGTAAGAGGAAGGAGGAGTTTCTAGAAAAGTGCAAGATAAAGATGTCATTTCTAGAAGGTGAAGGAGATTTTCACCAGTTACAGAACCGATCATAAGTTTACCTTTGACCATAAGTTCATATGCTTCTTTGGACAGGCCATCTGGTACACAGTCAACTTCTTCCGTTTGTGTGGCTTTGACTTCTACTTTAACCCTCTTCTGACCTCTTGACTGGTCCAGTATCCACTGTTTCCTCTTCGGAATAACCTTTCCTGTCTAAAATAGAAGAATCGGGATTAGGAATGGCTGAACCCTCAGCTGTACAATCAAGACTATTGTTACAGGCCATACCTGAGCCGATTTCAAACTTGTGTTGACTGCTGACACCTGGAGGACCTGCAGGCTGTGTCTTCGTTTTCCAACTGCCTTTTGAGGCGATGCAAAGAAGTTCTGAAAGACAAATATACCTTCAGAGATCAGGAAAGGCAATTTTCCCCTTTACAGCAATTCTTTGAACACATAGAATTGGAGACTCCTTAAATGGTATACGAGTGCAAACGTATACATAATGTTTAATGCATGGATTGCATCTTGAAATCAATTTCAAACATTACATTCAACTTAATCATGTACATAATAATAATGGAGAGAATATTAAACATGTGCTTCAGAGAGAAAAGCATTGTGATGAAAGACTTCAGTGAAAATCAGAACTTTGCACAAATCAGAAAATGCCCAATTAGTGCACCGTGACAGGAAAGTACTCAGTTATGATTTTCCGAGCTTGGCATCACCTGACACAGAAGACTTTAGTTACAATGTCACTAAAGTAGAGAGAGGCTCCTTATACTGCCCAAGCTCAAGGGTAGGGCACAAAGTTGTTGTGGTCATGGGAAAGTTCCTCTTGAGTGCTCATTAAGGAGCAGGACAAAGCCTAGTTAATGTTTGGCTAGACCTCAACAGCTCCATTGGTTTGAGGCTGATTAAATCATCTTTCAGAGATTTGGACCATTTGAGAGCCCAACAAGAATTTCAGTTCTTTAAAAGGCAACAATTCAGCAACAACAACAAAAAAGAAAAAAAAAGAAAGAAACATACTTAAAACCCAAGAAGAAATACTTCAGATTTACCTTCATGTTCTCATTGGATCTCTGCTGTTTCACGTTGCCAACGGAATTCATTTTCTTTCCGGAGATCTGATAAATAAGGTTAGGGACAAATTAAAGCAGATACTGCACAAGATAAAACCAAAGCAAAATATGCATCTATATATGGGTCGATTGTGATTCTAGGTGACTAGACGGTCAAAAATAATAGGATACAAATATCTTCTCGTGCTAAGAACAAGCTAATTCAAATATTATGCTAACGGTAGCGCCATCCAAGTCTAATGATGTACAAATTTGACTTAAATATAAGCCCCCGTACGCCACACTCTCTAGTCAATGTGTTAATTACAAGAATATTTCAAACAGCCCAACATTAAGAGACGTAAACTCACCTTTCACAAACTCAACCGAACCTCTTTAAAACTCTTGTTTTCCTCAACTAAAAGATCTCGCGCCAGGGGCTTAAATACGAGCACCGAGTCACGTGTGAAGCCACCAATCACCACGAAGAATTTTTATTTTCTTCTCCTCCGTCTCCTCCTTCCACCAATAGAGAAGGAGAAAAGACACATCATGAATGCATCGTACGGCAACGGTGCCGCCATATTGTGAGTGGCAATTTCTATCTATCTATAGTTAATCCTTACAATGATTAAGATGAGACGCATGAGGGTGTTCAATGCACTTAAAGGATTAAAATCTTTGACAAAATATGGATCTTTTTCTATTTATGTTAACAGTGGTAGTTTTAGAAGTTGAAAGAATGCGTTTACTAAAAGTATTGCAATTTTCAGTATAACTACCATAACATTGCAAGGTTCGAATAACTAACAAGGCCTAATGCAACTTACTTTAGTTACAGTGTATTTGCATTGATGCAAAAATGATTCATCCAGAAGACCTCCAATATTCCAGATAACTAGAGATTTTTAGTTTTTTCCAACACAGTTGCATAGCTATGCAAGGCAAACACGCCACACAAAATATGGCGGACGTATTCTCACGTATCGTTTTTTTTTTTTTTTTTACCAGGTAACGAAGCCGCTCCGTCGGGTCACGTGTCTTATTACGTCCAGTTATTGTAACTGCCTGCGCAGCCATTTTGAGGGGGAAGGCAGAGAACCCGTCGAGCGCTAATGTACTGTTATTAGCCTCCCTGAAAAACACACACAGACACACACAAAGAAACCGAACGGGGCACACGTTGGACGGCACGTCGTTAAATATGGGCCCACCAGGAGACAGAACACGCCACACATCGACTGATAGAACGGGGGATCTCCGCTGGATGGTCGATTTATCTTGACATGGCATGCGGCGGGGCGAGCCGGAGGTTGTGACGACTGAAGAAAAGAGAAAGAACTAGCTCGCAGCGTCAGACGTTGGAAGAGGAGGGAGATTTTTGTTTAGCTAACGCTTGTTTCGCAGTTCAGCGTTTATTTTAATCGATTACCAACTGATTTGTGTCGAAAGTTGTTGACAACAGTTTAATATGGAGCTGAAATAGTGACCAGAAACAGTTACAACGTTAGTCTTCCGACTTTTAATAACAGCACTGACAGTCTCGTTGAGCCAGAAAATGTAATAAAAGGCGTGGTAAGATGACTGACCACACTTAAAAAGCCTCAGTTAAGCCAGTCTGTCTTAAAATAAGATGTAGCTTTATCACTGATTCACTACTAGTTAGTGTCAGAAATGAATACCTAGGTTGGCTTGCTAGCTAGCTAGCAGACCTTAGCTAGTGTGCTAAAAATACGCCCACATCATGACTATCAGCTGTGGCAGCAGCACGGGCCCAGGGCCAGATGAGTGACGGAAAAAGTTCAGGAAATGTCGGTTTACTTTCGCTGTAGTCTTCGATGTTACCGGGTGCCTGTATCTGTTGGCATCTGTGTCTCCCTGCCATGTTCGTCTGTATCCCCAGTCCGCCTGTAACACGCTCATAACACAGTCTGTGTTCAGAGAAACAAAACAAAACCGCAGCCATGGATCAGGGACTTTGAGATGACCCAGTTAATAGAATATCGGTCTGCTCGCTGTAGTTCACAATCTCACTAGCAAACAAACAAACAAAAAAAATGTCACCAATATGTGTTTTGTTTTGTAGCAGCCTTTTCTATTAGTTTCAGTTATCATTTCTAAAAGAGAGCCACATTTGAGTTGTTGTTTTTTTGAAATCTGTTGTACTCATTTCAGTGGCAGTTGGAAAAAAAAAAGTTAATTTGGCTTTGAGGCCATGTCTTAAAACATGGGTTTTTGATCAGGTATAAAGGCAATGGAGTCTTAGCCTGTTGAGCATTCCCCTTCTCAAAACTGCCTTTTTACAACAACCAAATATTGAAATGACTTAGTTTAAAATCTGATTTGTTGGTCTTTTAAGTTCATAGTGGTTAGAGGACCTAGTTTTAGAGATTTTTTTATTGCATTGTCAGCTCCATCCTTTCTTAAAAGTATAGAATAAATAGACAGTGTCGCTAAAGTACATCACACGAGAGGAAGAGACACTACCAACAAAATCTAACCATGGGGGACCCAACTTCACGAAGAAACCAAACAAGAAACCGGCTTCGAGCTCAGCTTCGGAAGAAAAGGGAATCTTTGGCTGATCAGTTTGACTTCAAGATCTATATAGCCTTTGTTTTCAAGGAAAAGGTTTGTTAACATGACAGCTATATTCCATTATATTTATACTGGAGATGCAACAGACAATAGACCATAAATGTAAATCGGCCAATTTTCCATTTTGCTATTGTCAAGTCAAATGCTAAAACCTGATGGAAATGTACAACTTTTACTTTCAGCGTTTTCCAGGTCTAGATATGTAAGGGGGGGGGATATGGACAATTAGTTGTTTTTCCTTATGTTACATGTTCTCTTTTTTTCTCTTTCCATCCTTCCTTTTGTCCTTCACCTTTTTAAACTTTATTCTAAATATAGCGTTGTCTTCTTTTTTTGTAACATCTCTTCACCATTTCAGGTCATTTAAACTTTTTTTTGTTAATTGAAAACATTCTTGACTTTTTTCATAATTTTTACTTTAATTTTGGAATGGATAAACAACAACAACAAAAAACGTAATGTTTTTCCACCAGTGACCCTAACACCCTCTTTTAGAATAGGCAGGTCAGACCTCAAAGAAAACCAGAAAAATATGCATTGACCTGTGAAACCCTCAAAATCGCTTGCTTTATTTTTAACAGAAGAAGAAGTCTGCACTTTTTGAGGTAGCTGAAGTGGTGCCCGTGATGACCAACAACTACGAAGAAAACATCCTAAGAGGTGTGCGCGATTCAAGCTATTCTCTGGAGAGTTCGATAGAGCTCCTTCAAAAAGATGTGGTGCAACTACACGCCCCCCGATACCAGTCGATGCGAAGGGTAAGACTCGACTATATGAACGAAGTCCCCAGTTATGGCTTAAAAAAAATGCTTAGTTACTATAATTATTTGTCTTGTTTCTTTAGGATGTGATAGGCTGCACACAGGAAATGGATTTTATCCTTTGGCCACGCAACGATATTGAGAAGATTGTCTGTCTGCTGTTCTCCAGATGGAAAGGGGCCGATGATGAGCCCTTCAGGCCTGTGCAGGTCAGACCTTTGCTCCTGTCATCACTTTGGAGTGACTACTCCATGTGCTATGTATCAGATTAATGTAAAATCTGTCTTGTACACATTGAGCAAAAATAAATGACGTGAAGCCAAATTGTACTGAACAGTCAGGGAAGAGTACCTGTACAGCAGGGGTGGCCAAGTCCAGTCCTCAAGAGCCACCATCCTGCAAGTTTTAGAAGTATCCTTACTCCAACAGACCGGGATCAGCTCTACAGAGGCCTGATAACGAGCCAGTCATTTGATTCAGGTGTGTTGAAGCAGGGATGCATCTGAAACTTGCAGGATGGTGGCTCTCGAGGACTGGACTTGGCCACCCCTGCTGTACAGCTTGGTCAGTCAGTTATCCTTCAAAACTAAACGTTTGATAAAAACGGTGATTTCGGTGAAAATATCCCGTGTCTTAACATTCTTGTTGTCATCTTTGCCAAACGGCTCCATCGCTGACCCGTAGGACTTTCCTACAGAAAACATTTGACTTGTCCACACACGTGGAGCTTCATAGTTTCCATTTGAGGGAGCTGCTTCTTTCTTTGTCCGAACTGCAGACAAAATTGCACACAGGTTAACATCAGGCTTCTAGAATGGCCTACCCAAATCCTTAACCTCCGCTCTATTGAACCGTTTCAGTATGCGTAAATGTCATTCTTCTAAGTCTGCCAAATATAACACGGTCAAATAGCAGTTCGTAGTTGAGCCTGAAGCTTTTTTTTTTTTCAGGTTACTACATGAAATTTAGCCAGCAGCCCAGACTTTGCATACAGACTCTTTCCTCTTCTTCTCAGGCCAAGTTTGAATTTCATCATGGAGACTACGAGAAGCAATGCTTGCATGCTTTGGGTCGTAAAGACAAAGCTGGAATGGTGATGAACAACCCAACCCAGTCTGTATTTCTCTTTATGGACAGACAACACCTGCAGGTACATCTGTTGAAACGTTTAAAAAAAAAAAAGAACTGGCTTATCAAGTTTAAAAACCCTGTCCTCTTTAACGAAGCCATTATACTTTTTGGTCGTTTCAGACTCCTAAAACCAAGGCCACGGTTTTCAAGTTGTGCAGCCTGTGCCTGTATTTGCCCCAGGACCAGCTGACCTGCTGGGGCGTGGGAGACATCGAGGATCACCTCCGCCCATACATGCCTGATTAAGGCTTCTTGCTTCACCCAGCCACACAGAGACAAGCCTTTACCTCTCCTTCCCTCCCTAAGCCTTCAGAAGCAAATTGATGTACTCATCTCCTCCCTGTCCCTTTTAAAAGATTTGAACTTGTGCTTGGATCTCCTTTTTGTTCCCCCACTCATTTTCTCCCTCTAACCTGAAGCCCATTTGCTTCCCATCCTGTTTTTTTTTTATACCCCATTCTTCCCATGTTTGTCCCAATACTTTCTCCCATTTTTTTTTTTGGATTGGCTCTGACATTTTTATTTTACTTCATTCCCTTTTCCTTACTCACCCTTTCTTTCATTTTGCTTTTGTTTTTTTTGTTTGTTTGTTTTTTTTTTTAATTTGAACCTGCACGGACATTGATTTTTTGAGTGGTTGGTTGTTCTCTTGGAGCCACACAGTCAACAGCATCGGTCACTGAATGAACTCTTTATGTTGCATCTAAACCGGAACAAACGATACGCAAGTCTTCATGGTGGTTACGATGGACATGTCTTATATCCTTGATGTGATAAGAAAGGATTGTTAAAGCTTGTTTTGTAATGTTACTAGGGCTTCTAAAACAAGTTTAGACAATCTTTTTTGCCCAGGATAGGCATGAGCAGGTATCAGAACACCTGTACAGGCAAAGATAACAAGAGGAAGAGTGTTTGTCAAATCATATGGTGTAGGTATTGCTTCTTATAAACTGCCTTAGTTTTATTTGCTGGACTTAAAAGATGTTTTTGTGTCATTTGCTTTTCTCAGAAACATACTAAACAGGCCTTTGTTTAAATTTGCGAGTATCTCAAAAGGCATTGTGCAGAGTTAAGACATGTTGGTATGTTGAAGTTGATTTTTCACAGTTCAATCCGTTCATGCACTATTTCATTTAAGCTACTGAAATCTGATGTTTTGCGCTTTGTTTTTCGGAGGGACATGGGTCGGTGATGATTTGCAATGATGACAGATTTAACAATAATAATAATAATAATAATATACCTAACAAAAAAAAGGGTTTTGCTTAAAGCTAACTGATTTCTGTTTAATTTGATCTGTTAAAGTTGCGAATCTGCTGCCAAGCTTCTTTAAATTAAAATTGAGTTTTGAAGGGTTTGCTTTTTCAAAGACTATGAAGTACAGCAGTACGTAAAGTTTCGCTCCTTGCTGATTCAATGTGTTTTAGCTGAAAAAAAAAAGGGTGTAAGGCATGTAACTTCTGGGTTTTGATTTTCTGTTCTCTAATCTTTACTGCTGAGCATATCTCAATACAGTGCAAAGTCTGAAAAAAAAGAGTCTTTGTCCAGCTGGCTTTATTGCATGTACAAGAAACATTTGCTGCTCGATATTCACAAGAACACAAACACATAAGTTAGGGGGGAAAAAACCACAGAACTTTGTTCTGCAAACTTATGTACTTACAAAAAGAACAGTCTACATATTCAGAATCCCAAGTTTTAGCAGTAAATTATACAATTTCAATTAGAAGAGACGGTTTAGCTGCTGCCGAGGTGTTTAGTGTGTCGTCCTTGAGCGATGAGTTTCCCTGAGGCTTTGCTGGAGAGATCTACAGTAGCAAATGCCAGCGTTTTCCCCTGCTTCAGAACTTGTGCAGTGATGAGGACGTCTTCCCCTATTTTGGCAGCATTCATGTACCTGCAGCATAGTGACATTCCCAAACACACACACACACACACACACACATTACTTGCTTATGGAGTTCATCTTCAAAATGGCAACAAAAATCCACTGAAGTTTAAGAGGGGAAAGTGAGAGATGGCCAACAATCTTAAAGGGATTGTTTTTATACTTTCGTTTGGGTCTTTACTGTTTCTAAAAACAGCATCTGTTCGGATTATGGCAATAACTTGATGTTTTTGGAGTATGGAAAACAAGCTGTTTCAAAAAACCGCCGCTGCCTTTACACCTAGCAACCCAAGCGGAGCTCTGCCCACTTAGATGAGGATGCTTGGTCAGCTGGTTTTACCGCTGTATGCACTGTACAATGGCTGCTGGGAAGCACGAGTTTTGTTGTTGACTTGTCACTCAGAAATGACTTGCTGCATTCTTGTTGGTTGTGCAGGAGGCTCAACTTCTGCTTTTCAAAGATGTACAGTTGTATAATTACACATCTATTTGCAGCCAATTTCACGTGAGGGTAAAAGTCGAGTTCCCAACCAGTACATCCAGCTTGTATCAGCAAGCTGAATGTACATCACAACATGATGCTGCTACTAGCATGCTTCTTGTGACTACAGTGTGTTCAGGGTGATGTGCAGTATTAGTTTTCAGTTGTTTCAGTGTTTAAGCAGGACTCTGCAGCTCCTTCAGAGTAACTGTGAGCCTGTTGGCTGCTCCTCAGATGCTTTGTTTTATTAAAGGTAGCAAAGTAAAAGGGGCTGAATACATTTCCTTAAAAAAATGCTGAAAGCCATGTATTTGTCTGCATGTGTTGGTGTGACCCAGGAGTCTGCAGTCCTTTTGACTCCCAGTCCAGCTAAATGAAACTTATGTAGAGACAAAAATGTTACCTAAGCTTTTTTATCTACTAAAAATAGGTAATTTTTAAAGAATCACCACTTTATTTCTGTTTTTAGATGTGAAATTAAAGAAAAAAAAGACAGAAAAGTTGACATTTGTGGAAAAATGATTGAAAAACGTTATTTAAGCTGAAGTTTATAAATGTATGCTGCCTGCACAGAGTTTAAATGCTTGACAGCAGACAAACTCCTTGTTTCCGTACAGAGTTCTTGCTAATTAAGTTTATTCTGAATCTGAAAAAGCGAAATATTACGGCTATTTTTAACTAATTGGTAACACTTTATTTGAAGGGGGCTGAATAAGACTGACATGACACCGTCATAAACATAACACCTGTCATGAACATCAATAAGCCTTCATGAATATTTATGACTGTTGTCATAAAGCGTCATTCGGTAAATTATGACACTTTTAATACAAAATTGACACTATTCAAAATGTCTTTGTTATGACAACTTGACATTAACCAAGAAATCATTACTGTTTAAACTTTACCTTTAATAACATAGTTACCTACATTTTTAAAGTGCAATCAGTAATACTTTTATAACAAATTTATATCAGTAATGGTTTTTATATATAAACATTAGCAGGTTCTTTATCACTTTTGACAAAATTATTAGGAGTCACTGGATGGCCCAAATAGCCACAGGGTGCAGACTCTTGGTCTAATCCACAATTTCTCTGTGACATTCAGTGAAGTTTGTTGCTGCAACTGGAAAAACTTAGTAGCAGAGGATACAATTGCATTGCACCGTCTTGATGCATGATTGGGGTATTTCTAAACTCACGTTATATTCATGTCCACGCTGACCCCCGGGGCTCCTCTCTCGCTGTACATAATGGCCATGGTAGAGATCACGTCCACCAGGGTGGCTGTCAGCCCGCCGTGCAGCGTCCCTCCCCGGTTTGTGTGCTCCTCTTCCACCCGCATCTCACACACCACCTTCCCGGGGCTCGCAGACACAACGTCCACCTATGGACAACATCTGGGGTTGCAGTTTGAAAACGCAAAAACCCTGGGTTTAGCTTCAAAAATATCTGTTCACATTTACCTTGCTTATGACTCTGTCGAAGCCCGAGTGGTCGACCATCGCTCTCATTATTTGTCTCAGTGAGTTTAAAGTCAGGGTGCTCATGTTTGACGGACATCAACGCGGCCAATGTCAAAGTTGTGTTTATTTCCAACAGGAAGTTGCTGCGTTTCATAAATCGTCCGGGCGGAACTTGAGTAGATTTACGGAAGTGCACCAAAAGTAGTGGAGAAGCATAAAAACAAGAGCCATATATATACTTATATATACTGATGGACATAATCTGTTGTATGTTTAATATTTTTATTTTATTTCTTATCAATTCTTTATTTCCCAGAAGGTTGCGCATCTACACTGTGATTTATGGCCACATTTAAACATTGCGCATTTAAGTCAAATTTTACATCTGAAATAATTACAAGGTAATTATTCAATTTTACCTTCAAAAATTAAGGTAAAATTATTTTTTACCTTAAAAAAACTAAGGTATGTTTTTTTACCTAACTTCTTATTCATAAGGTCCCAAAAGACCATTCTCAAGTGCTTTTACTGGATTACTGTGAGTTTTATTATCAAATAAAATGTCATCAAAGTTCCAATGAGTTTTTATAGTGTCCATTTTCTGAAATTCTGCAACATATTAAAATGAACCTGATCAAACCATGGCAAAATCTAAAATTAATGCAATGTACAAAAATAAAAAAGTATTTACCTCTAAAAGATTTATTTTTGTTTTTATTGTCATACACTTGAATGTTTAGATACAATGAATGGTAATATCAGGAACAAATAGTGTGTGCACCAAAGGTAATTTTAAATTATGATTTCATTTATGAAGGAAAAAACCTAAGCAATCCAGTCTGGTTCTCTGTGAGAAACACTGGGATTAAATGGCACCTCTCCCATGGACTATCATTGGAGATAGTGTTTCAGTGTTATTAGTAATGGCCTCATGGCCTTATGGCAACCAAATTATTGAGCTGATCTAAAAGCAGAAAATAAATAGTTCTCCAATAGAGTTCATAAAGCAAATTATTGTTTTGAAGAATCTAGAATAATTCACTACAGTTTTGACCTATATTTTCATTGTGGTTAACTTCTCGTCTCAACATAAAAGATCGCCAAAAACACATGAAATAATTTGTGTTTTCATTAAAAGATAAAATATTTAATTAGTTTTAAACTTCATAAATAATCTGTTTTCAGGGAGGCAGTTTCTAGCTGTTGATAATCAAATCCAATAAATTAATTGTAAGTTTTTATGTTAAATGGTGTTGCTCTTTGTTTTCTCGTCTCCCCAGGTCCATTAATGTCGTGTGTAAAAGTGAAACCACAAAGAATGCAATGGAAAATTTTATAATGTACCCCTCACTCCTCTTATGCTTTAGATTGTCTCTGATGATGAGATCATTGTGCCTGCATGATCTTATCATCTAATCCGGTACACAATCTGGGTGTTACTTCTGAGACTGCATTTCACGCATTAAGTAAAATCCCCCTTTGCTAAACAATAGACAAATGGCAAGGCCATCGGGGTTGGGCCCCACAGAATCCTTGGTGCATAACAATCAATGATTCACAC